GTACGCCTGAAACTAACAGTAACACTGGGTTAACTATACTGGAATTACAATAAAAAAAAAATTCATAATGGCAATTTTGGGCAGGAGGGAAAGAAGGAAAGGACAAAGGGGAATACAGAGGACCTCATCTTGATAATGGTTTTTGTTTTAAATAATATCTGGGGGAGGGGCACACAGGTATTAGCTTATTATTCCTCTGACCTCTCTACATGCCCTGCTCTTTCTACTAAAACTGCTTTAGGGCTCATTCCAGCACCATAGCGAGGCTGTCGAGAGCTCACTGGATGTTTCACACTTGCCCACCCATTCCAGGTGACATGAAGGGGCGCCTGAGAGGCTGGTCTCAGAACTGAGGACCTGCAGACACACCCATATCCCAAGTCTGGGGGAGTTGGCAATCTTATGGAAAAAAAAAAAGGGGTGAGCGGGAAGTTTGCAACTTGGCACATCTAAAAATTGTCAGGGATTCCAGTAAACGTGGGTAAAGATGTAGGAAATAGAAAAAACAGTATCAACGTCAATTACTTTGTAACCGCACCATCAGATTATTTTTAAAGAATTATATCGCTTAATCATAATGCCCTCCACTTTAAAATCATTGAGAAAGGGTCAAAAAAATGAAAGTGAAAACCCTGATATGGCAATTTTATTTTTTAAAGTGCAATACTGCAAAAACACCCAGTATCTCCTTATCAGTCTCTGGATGAGCCACACCCATCGCAAGGATCTTAGTGAGCCCTTAGAGAAAATCGTGCACCCGCATGTGTAGGTCTATCATCTTTTTGAAAAATTCAATATTCTCCAAGGCCCAACACCTGGAGAGTCTGATCCGGTGTATTTTTTAAGTCTGTACCTGTTTGCATAAGCTCCCAGGCGATCGTGATGTGCTGCCTGGCAAGGCCTGATTTCTCTAAAACAACTTCCATAACGACTAAGTTCATAAACGCCAACTTGATAAGCTGAACTGGTAATTCCGCACCACGGACCCCTACCGAGCAACAGGGAGGACAGCTGCCCGATCACAAGGTGACCTCATCATCCACGGCCTGATTCTGGACCAAACAGCAAAAGGGAAAAGACAGCCGAGCAGCTAAGGAGACCCAGCCGTGGCCCACCTGCTCTCCCGCAGAACAGGGCACTCAGCCTTCCTACCAGAGTTCCGCCTCTATCATTCAAACCCGTGCTGTTCAGTATTTGGCCACTTAAGTGTAGTTAAGACTAAATAAAACTCACAATTCAGTTCCTCGGACCCACCAGCCATATTTCCAGTGTTCAACAGCCGTACGTAGCCAGGGGATACTGTACAGCAGAGCTCAAACAGCACATTTCCCTCATCCCTGTTTCACAGTGCTCACCTGAAGCATTCATTTCATGACCACATCATCCCCGGTGGCTTGGCCTTCAAGCTTCTATCCACACCCCTATCTGACGGCTACAATACCCTCCAGAGCAACAGTGCCCACCCAGGGTGGGGGGGAAGGTTCCAGGAGGTCAGAAATCTCTAGGGCACGGGACATTTGCAAATCACCCCCACCCACAGATGCCGGCACCCCTAAGTCCTCCCACGGCTGAAAGGCTCTATTAGGCCACCAGAGGATTCTTTAACATTCTGAAAAAGAGCCTCATTCTAATTCAAACCACAAGTGCTAACCTCCTAAAAGAAAAAAAAAGAGAGAGAGAGAGAGAACATACTGGTGTGACAGGCCAGCCCTACTTCTCTGCCCGGCCATAAAGAATCAGGTGTTTTACTGCCTGAGAATTTGGAATTGGGGCCAAAAGAGAGCTAGCTGGAATACCATGCCCTTTTGAGTCATGGAGATAAATATAGGATCCCATCACCTAGCTTCAACAACTATGGACTCGGGCCAGCCTGGTTTCCTGCGGCCCCACTCACACCCCGTGTTCTTTAGGAATGGAAGGTTCTGGAGAACCCCTCCCCCGCAACACCGCGGCCCTGTGTCTGCACAGAGCAGAGGGAGGCCCTCTTGTGCGGGCTGTCGGGGGTCTAGGCCTCATCCTGGGTGATGGCTACAAACTCTCTGAGCCGAAGCACCAGTCTCATGAGGCTGTTGAGACAGATGCAGGAAACAATCCCCACGGAATGCTTAGCTTGGCGCCGGGCTGAGTAGGGGCTTGTGGGCGGGAGCTCTCCTCACTGCTGTGGAGGCTGTCACTGTCACTCTTCCCGTGGCTGAGCGGCACTGTTCAGTCTTGTTCTGATGGCCACCCCAGCATTTTCTTAATGCTTTCCTAAAGGTAGGGCAATTTTGTTTCATGCTTTCAATTTGGAATTAAAAAAAAAGTCTATACCGAAAAAAAAAAATAGTATTATCACTACTGAAGCTGTGGTTTACTTGTAGGCCTTTGCTGTTACTACGATTACTAGGACTAGTTGTAATAACACCAGCTACCAGTTTTTGAGCTTCTAGTCCATGTCAAGCATTGTGCCAAGCCCTCCATAAATATTATCTCACTGAATCCTCACAAGCTACACTGTAAGGGGGATTCCTGTTGTTATTCTCACTCGAGAGCTGAGAAAACAGACCCAGAGAATTTAAGTGGCTTGCCTAAAATCATGGAGCTGAAGAAAACAGGATCAGAAGCCAGGTGTGCCTGACCGGACACCCCATGCCTTTTACCATTATAGCAAGAGCAGCTAAAATCCTCCTGGAGCCAAGAACCTAGCCCTCCACTCCCAAGCTAGAAGAACTTTCTATCACATATTCTAAAGATTAAAAACTCCAAATGAGAAGGGACTCTCATTCTTCCCCAGGGGCTGTCTGTCCCGCTCTCAAATGCGTACTTCACCCTCTTTACTGGGACTCCTCAATTTTCAATATCTAAGTTGTTTACTGCAACTACAAGAGGATCCCCTGGATCCCCAAACAGTTCTTGAGTGGATGCGGCAGGAGAGCTAAGCCCCCTTTTAAAAAGAAGCCATAAGGCTGAAGCATTAAGAACCAAAGTGAAACAGTCACCTCGTTTCTGGCTGGAAGATGTTCCCTCTCATTCCTTCCTATATAGGGAGAGCTGTTCAGCAAACAGCTACTCAATCATAGTTCAGAGAATTCCAAGTTTGTGCTCTTATCTCCACACGAGATTATCCTCAAATGAACCAGCATCTCTAACTCAAGGACGCACCTGTGGGATGATGCTTCACGGACTGCATGACCAGGAATTATCTAGAACAAACAGTTCTGTGCACAGCATGTTCTCTGAGGAGTCTGCCCACCCTTACAGGAAAGCCCGTTGTCTGCAGTGCATTTCGCAGGGGTCTGGAGCCAAACTAGTGCAAACCCACACCACAGCAGAATGCCCCCGAGCTGAAATTCACCTGCAACCTCTTTTCCTTCTCCCCACCCAAACCGTGCACCCACACTTTCACGCAACACACAGAAATCTCCGAAGCTTGGAGGAGAATGAACAGAGATTATCACTCCCAGAATTTGGGATTTCATAGTGCAGTGCAATTTCGGAAGCATTTGGTAGACTGATGGAGTTAAGAAAACAGATACTTAAGAGCCAACACCACTCACGGCCACAAACCCATACTATCTTCTATCGCTACCATTTCAAAAAGGACAAATTTAAAAGTAAAAACATAGGGAAAAAAAGCCAGAGGCTCAGAGTAAAAGACCACCCTTCCTCAGGAAGAGAGTAGAACTTTCAGGCACGGACACACGTATGCACAGGGGTGCAGAGGCAGGCGGAGTGTCACTGCAAACACCCTCTTTGTTTTCCCTCCCTCCCTGCAGATGGGACAACTGGTTCTAGACCACAGGTGGGCCCTGAGGAAGCACTCAACCAGGCCGGACGCCCCCCACCGCCCCACCACCACCTGGCCCAGCATGGGAACGCATCTCAGCCCAGGCCCATACTTCCCAGTTCGCATCCTTTTCCTCCTTCCTAACCAGGCAATGGCCGGCGGCCAGACATGTCCTCTGGTCCTCTGCACGTCCTGCAAAGCCCCAATGGAAATCCTGTCAACTCTGCTCCTGGAGAATAAACTCTACTTTTTCCCAGAAATGGACTTGAAGCGGTTCTGTGTACACACTGTGAGCAATGCCTAGTTACGGGGATTTAAGGAGTATACGTAGTGCCACCCACAAAGTGAAGGAAAATTAGGAAGCACTTTACTATAACATTAAGATTGGAACAATTTTCAGAGAGGAAATACACGTGTGTGAATATGGCAAATGAAATCACGTGAGATACCACCTTCCACGTGTCAGAATGGCTAAGATCAAAGAGACAGGAACTAACAGGCGCTGCCGAGGACGTGGACAAAAGGGAGCCCTCGTGCACTGCAGGTGGGAACGGACCCTGGGGCAGCTGCTGTGGAAAGCAGTGTGGAGCTTCCTCGACAAAGTAAAAGAACTACTGCTGGATCCAGCAGTTCTACTTCTGCGTATTTATCTGAACAGCAACACTAATCTGCATAGGTATATGTGCCCCATGAGCAGCATGGCATTGCTCACAGCAGCCAAGATAGGGAAGCAGCCCAGTGTCCATCCACAGAGGAAAGGATGAAGATGTGGGGTGTACACACACACACGCAGGAATATTGGTCATAAAAAAGAACAAAATCTTGCCATTTGGGACAACACAGATGGACTTGGAGGGTATTACACTGGGTAAAATAAATCCGAGGAAGGCAAATACGCCATATGATTTCACATACGTGTGAAATCTAAAAAAACAAAACGGCTCACAGATGGAGAGCAATCCGGGGGTCGCCCGAGGGGAAGGGCTGGGGGATGGGTCAAAGAGGGGAAGGGGATGAAGAGGTACAAACGTGCAGGCACAAATAGGACAGGGACACCACCGGGTACCAGGCAGGGAATGGTTACTACGTGACCACTTGATCGCGAGGCCCGTTCCACCTCATCCCATAAACACCCTCATGGCCACTCATCCTCCGTCCAGAAGAAGTCAGCGGCGTCTCAACTGGCATCTGGAACAGAATTAAGAGGAGGCGGGGGGAGCAGAGCAGGTCTTGCCTTTTCGTCCTGGTAGATCTTGTTGACGCTCTCCAGCTGCGAGTCGTGGCTGGACTGGATGCGGTCGAGCTGCTCCCGCTGCTTTTCCAGCTCTCCCTGGAACTCGTTCTTCTTCAGCTCCACCGCGCCTCTCTCCGCCGCCGCCCTGCGGACCCTGCCCTCCAGCTCCAGGATCCGGGTCTGCGAGGACAGCGCGGCTCGTGAGGGCGAACCCCAAGCTGTCCCCGCGCACGCGGCCGCTGGAGGGCGCTCCCCGGGAGAAGCCGGCTCGGGCCGAGCCAGCAGCAGGCCCTACAGTGGGAGGGGTGCTCCCAGGCCCCGCGGGCAGGCCTGCTGGGCCCCCCCGCGTCCCCCTCCGCAGCCCTACACTCCCCGGCTCCCATCCCCCTCCTCCTTCCTAACCGGGCGGTGGCGGGCGGCCAGACACGTCCTCTGCGTGTCCTGCAAACCCGCGAGGCGAATCCTGTCAGCTCTGCTCCTGGAGAATAAACTCTACTTTCTCCCAAAAACGGGCTTGAAGGGGTTCCGTTAAGAGCAATCCTGGAAGTCAACTGTGTAGAAGCGACTATTTTTTTCCAGAGAAAGTGTTACAAGTCGAGGAAGTCACTTCTCCGGGCTTCGCAGTCACAGGCTTATCTCCCCGAAATACCAGCACAACCCTCCCAGGGCGTCGTGAGGCCTGAGGAGGCAAGTCCACGCAGTGCCTCGGGCTTTCCCAGGCGCGCAAATACTTAGTTTCCCTCCTGCCGCTGAAAGAGCGCTTAACTCGCGCCAGACAAAACCTCTCAGAACAGACTCAGTTCTCCAGCTCAGGACACTAAGTCCACGTCTGCCCAGACGGCGCGCTCCCGTGGAAGCGCACGGGGGCGCCCGGGCCCGACGGGACGCTCGGCCGCGACGGGGCTTCACGCTAAGAGCCCGAGCTCTGCCATCAGAGACCGGGCTGGAATCCCCGCTCCTCGTGAACCGCACCGCTCTGCGTCTCCGCTGCCCGCCTGGGAAGGGGGACGGTGAAGTCCCGAACGGACAGTTTGCGCACAAAACAGGACAGTGTATCCACTGCACTGCTGGAGAAAAACCATCCGGGCACTTGTGAAAATGGGAAGGAAAACTTCCTTCAAGACTCCTGCAAGAGGGGTCGTGTCTAGGCAGTAGGAGAGAGAACCGGCTGCACCCCGAACCCAGCGGAGACAGCTAAGGGCCAACAGCGGAGGGAGGGGTCAGTGGAGGAAAAGTGTCAAGAGGAGACGTCAAGGGCAGGGGGATTTCTTGCTAAAGGCAGGCAAAGGGCTCAGCCATCAGCAAGAGGGAGCAGGGGCCTGATCAGGTGCTGGGGGCTGGGGGCTGGGGAGGACTTAGCAGGATTCTTTGCTAAGCGGGCTGGGCAGGCTGAAGACGGGATGGCGGGGGGAAGCCAAGACGGAGGCCTAGAGGAGAAGAGGGGTCAGAGGTGCCTGACTGAAGTCCGGTCAAGGAGTCTTTGTCCTAGCTCAGCACTGCCGACCCACGATGCCCAACAATAAATCGGAAAGCTAAAATCATTATCCCTGAATGAGGATTTTAACAACCAGCACCTCTTAAAAAAAAAAAAACAAAAAAAAAAAAACCTTTCTCACACCTGTTACCCAAATACATTTCCAACACCGCTCTGAGATCCGGCGTGGACAGGAGGACCCGACGGGCTGTCAGGGTGACAAAGCAGGCAGTCTTCCCAGAACCAGCGCCCACGGCTGGACGAAAAAAATCATTCACTCACAGGCCAAGCTGAGAGGGCTCTTCTGGGGGCAATCCTAAGCCACAGAGAGGTCCTCTCCCACCCAAGGGCAGAGCGGACGTGGAGAGTCCGGCCCTGGGCGGGCTGTGGGGATATGCGGAGCCCCAGACTCCAGATACAGAGTGCACAAGCCACTGAGCGTGATGCCTTAGGGGGCCGTAAACAGCAGAGCCCTCAGACCCCACCACCCAGCGACCTTAAATACTTGCAGACACTCATGCACACAGACAAGCCAAGCACCTGGAGATCCACGCTCCGGGAGCTGGCGATCCAGTAGTTGAAGCCCAGGACAATGATGCAGGCCACCAGGGCGGCCAGCACGAGGGGCGGCGACTTCATGCTCCGGCGCCCGTTTCCCAGTCCCATCATCTCAAAGGCTGGGGGAGAATCTGTCAAACAAAACAAGCAAAGAAACCCTTGTACTCGCAATGCCGCCGCACCAGCAAGAAAGCATCTGTGCCTCGAACGCGAACCTGTGGGAAGGAGACCATGTAAGTGGCACACCCAGAGTCCACACGGGTGTGTGGCCCAGGCGGCGGGCCATCCCCCCAGGACAGGCTGGTTGGAGGGAGCGCCATCCTGGAAACCCACCACCTGCAGGTAATTTCTCGTGCACTTCAGCTTCCTCTTCTGTAAAATGGGGTTAAGTGCAGTCTCTTCCCCGCCCCTCACTCCAGGACAGGTTGAGAATGAATCATCTCTGTACACAGTGACAGCTAATATTAAATGCTTCCACATCACCTTAGGGAAAAAAACCCAGGTCTCATTGTTCCCCCAAAGAGGCCTTTTTAATTTGAGTCCTAACACGGGAGGGTTTTTCACCTTGGACAGAATTGCTAATGACACCCAATTGAAGCATTTGTTGAGCAAAGCCAGAAAGCACCCCAGAGGAGTGTGTCCCCCCACAGACACAGGGTGCTGGCGGCAGGAGTGAGGTGTGGGCCCGGGCTTCCTCGGAATGCCTGCTCCTCTCCCCGCGCAGCGCATCCACATTAGCAAGAGAGCTGCAGAGTATCCCCTTCTCCAGAGAAAGCCAGATACAGCTTACAAGAAGGAAGTGATCAGGTTCATTCATGGACTTCAACCCAAGACCAGGTCTGCCTGGATACCAGCACGCAGCACAAAGCCCAAGGAAAGCCGACTTTCCCAAGTGGCTTGGCTGAGGCAGATAAAACAGGCCTTATCAGAGGAAGGTCAGCACGCACAATAAAGGGCATCTGTGAGAACAGGCATGCTTTTATGCCAGGTGTGGCCCACAATGGAGGAAGGAGGGGGGAGGGAAAGGGGAGGGGGCAGAGGAAAGGAAAGACGCCCCCGCCCCCCCCCCCCCCAGGGACTCAACTTCTGGGTTAAATTCAATCGAGCAAGAACAGAGCAGAGCCATCAGGACCAGCTCTCCCCCTAAGGTGTTCCTAGCCAGGTGTGTCACTGGGAGACCTCTTCCTTCTTAATAATCAGGTACTAGTGTGGGCATCTAAATGGGGTAAATGAGCAATCTCTGGAATCACCTGAAATAAAGTACCACCAGAATTCCTAAGCACAGAACTGACCTTAGCCTCTGCTGGTGCCTCCCTCACCAGCCTCTGCTCTCAGGATGAAAGAGAAAAAAAAAACTTTAAAGATCAATTATCAGTTGAAATCAGCAAGCACCGTTCATATTAAAGGAGAGTAATGCTCAGAAATACTAAACTTCTAGAAAATTCTATGTATCTGCTGAAAATGTGTCTCCACTGCCTTATATCTGATTTTGTTCACTAAACAGTCTTTTTTACTATTTTTAAACTTCAAGAAGTATATATAAAACTACTACAAATACAACTGGGGAGAAAAGCCACACAGTAAAGTATGAAATTTGAAGTCTTCCTCCAAATGGCGGCATCCGCCCATTCCAGCAGCTCTCAGCCCTCACAGGACCCCAGCATCACCTGAGACCACCTGGGACCCCAGCGTCACCTGGGATCGGGGCGTGGGACCCACTCCTCCACTTCCAATTCAACGGCTGTAGAGAAGTGCCAGGTATTTGTAGTTTTCAGTGTCCCCAGGTGATTCTAATATGCAGCCACTCTTGTAGGTGTCATTCTAGATGTTTCTTGATGTTTATACAAGCATTGCCATACATGTTTTTAAATCCAAACAAGATCATTCCCACTGTTCTCTAAGTGTCGTGAGTCACTTAGTCATACATCTTATCGCACTTTTCCTTGCAGCCCATTACGGTTTGCTCTTTTCTTTCTGAAGTTCTGGATGGGGCCCCACTGTGTTCCAGGATTTATTTAACCAATCTCCTATAGAGGGCCATCCGGCTTATTTCCAACAACTCTGCCATGAACACCCCTGACGTCCACATCTGTGTTTGCAAACTTCTATCCTGGTGTGCGAGCCCTTACACACAATTCTGAAACCCAAAATGCTCTAAAAGCCCAAAGGGATTTTTAAAAACTTATCCACGGCAACAAAACCTGACCTGAACTCAGATCAAGGTCTGATCGGAACTCACCCAAAGCTACTTATATAGTCTCTTTCTCCCTTCGTGTGAATATGCGTATGTTTTGCTGCAGAAAGATTAGTGTTTGATTATGGGGTGCTGCCGCAGATCCTGCTGGGGCTGTCACATAATATATAATAAGTGCATCTTATTATCTTCTGAATTCTGAAAAATTTCTGAATTCCAAACACATCAGGCTTCCAGGGGTTTGGGGAAGGGAGGAGGAACCAGCAAGAAGCTTGCTGGGTGTGAGGCATTGATCAAGTGTTTCAAATACGGCACTCCCTGAAGCCTTGAGAGGCTCTGAAGGGGCACTGATCACCCCCATTTGGCAAGTGATGGAATACATCCCAGACAGCTGCAGGTAAATTTCATAAGTGGTCCTGCTGGGTCATAGGCCTTTAAAACTGATAAATCTTACTGCCTCCAAAATATTTAGCAAATTACAAAGGGCAAAAAGTGGAGAACCCTGGCAGACACCACCTTAAGCCAGGTGATCAAAGTGAATGTCACTACTAATGAGACATACCGGCATCACAGGCCGCCTAATAGGATGCACTGGGGAGAAGAGTTCTCAGGATCTTAAATTGAGGGACATTCTATGTTCAAAAAGGGTTAAAATCATGAAAAACAAGGAGAAGACTGAGGAACTGTCACAGAGATGTGACAACTAAACCAGGGAACTATGGGTGAAGGATATATGGGAACCTTCTGTACTATGTTTGCAACTCGTTCATAGATCCAAATCAACTAAAAAATTTTTGATAGCTCTTACTCTATTGGCTTTCAAAGCAGTTCCAATAATTTACTCCCACTACTAGTATGAGAAATGTCTGTTTTCTCACACAATAACACCAAAATAAAACTTTTTAATATTTGGCAATCTCATCAGTAATGATATTTTAAAACACATTTCTTGGGGTACATGGCTGGCTCAGTCCATACAGCATGCAACTCTTGATCTTGGGGTCGTGAGTTTGAGCCCCATGTTGGGCATAGAGCCTACTTTAAAAAAATACATTTCTTTAGTTATGAGCATAAATGAGCATCTTTTCATTTATTGGCCATTTGTTCATTTTGGTGAAATGTCTTTTCATATTTTCTGCCCATTCTTAAACTTGGGTGTTCATCTTGTTGATTTGTAAGAGCTCTTTGTATGCTAAAGATAAACAAATCTTTCGTCTTTCATGGGAATATCTTTTATTCTCAATTTTTCATTTGTTCTTGAACTTTCTCTTTGAATTTTTTGCCCATAGTTTTTGGTTATTGGTGGTGTTTTTAAAATAACCTAATCTTGTCAATCTTTTATTGTCTGGATTTTGTTGGTACTTAGACGTTTCTACTCTAAGTTTAGAAATACATTTACCCATATCTCCTCTCAACATACCTACAGCCTCATATGTTTATTTAAATCTTCCATCCACTTGGAATTCACTTTTGATGTAAGGAGTAAAAAATACAAAAATATGAGGTTTGGGTTTTATGTGTGTGCATGTGTGGAACGGCTAGCCTGTTCTGTCAGCACCCTTTACAGAAAAATCTATTTTTATCTAGGGCTTTGAAAGCCTGTCTTTGTTTAAACTTAATTCCCTAACCATATACTTCTAGATTGGGGTCCTTGTCTGACTTTTTATTTTATTCCAGCAGATATAAGTCAATGGATGGATATACTACAAGTCTGAAAACAATAAAAACTCAATTCTCACCTCAAGGGAAGTATTCTGATAATCTTTCAAAATGCTCCTTTCTTGAGCCCGTTCAAATGTACTGAGCAGCTGCTCGGAGACAGATGCTGTACAGCCACCAGGCAGCTCGGGGCAGGGTCAGGAGAACAAACTCTGGAACCTACTGCCAGTGTCGGACTCTGGTTCCACCTCTTAGGAGCCACAGGATCTGAGGATCGCTGTCCTCCTCATAAGGATATGTGAGGACTAAATGAGTTAAGATATGAGAAGTGCTTAGAACCACATCTGGCATATAGTAATTGCTCAATAAATTTTAACTATTATTACTTTAGAGATGGAAAGATGGAAAAGAAATCATTTCTAGATCGTCTTTTCCCCATTTTATAAAGAAAAGGTGATGAATGTCTCCCTTCCACCTTGATTCTATTTTAGAGGAATGAGCCTTGTGCGTTCGTCCTATTAACTCTGCTGTCAATGAAGCAGTGGTATCTGCCGTCACCTGGGGCTGACTCCCCACCACCGCGGCACTGGACGCCCCAGACCAGGACCACAGGATGGCCAAGAGAGGTTTGAGGAAGCCCCTCACCAGGTCCCTGCGCTTGGCTGGCCAGGGAGGTATGCAGCGGCCCAGAGGGCACAGTGAGGAGAGCCCGGGGCTCCCACTGGACACAGGGCCGCCCAGCTAAGAAGGTGAGCAGGAGGAAGGGAGGCCAGCACTGAGCCTCTGGGCAGCAAGGTGCTTGGGCGCTGACTTCCAGGGCTGTGGAAACCCCTGCTGCTGAAAAACCAAAGGCCAGACACAGGTGGGAAGTGAAGACTGAGGTGGTAACTCAGAGCCATAGTTTACAGGTGTCAGATACCTCGGAGGCTCTCCTTCCCCCACCTTAGTCCTGTGGACGTAGGGGGTGATGCAGGAGACGTCCTGCATCAGATATATTAATAATCATTATAACTGGGGCTTCAGAATGTGTTTTGTCTCATATTTGATTTTAAGTATCTGACTTATTGAAAAACGATTAACCTTAATCTGCTAAACTCTGAAACCCCAGGCTTCCCTGGAGAAAAAGAAAGTGGTGTGTTTCTGCATTAGAAGTGTCTTGGTAAATGGGAAATGTGAAAAAAACTGCACATTCTTTCCTACTGGCTTAATTTAAAAAATTCAACCTACTGGTTAAAATTATTATTTGCCCGTAAGACAAAAAATTTTTTTGTAAAAGAGAAACTTCTAATTACTTATAAAAAAGAAAAAGCACCTGAAAATGAGTAACCTGCCAAATACACTGAACCTACTACTTTTATTTTTTTCTCATTTCCTTATTCCCACATAGGTTTTTGTTTGTTTTTTACGAGAGAGCCAGAGAGAGCACTCAAGCAGGGGCAAGATAGGCAGAGGGAGAGAGAATTTTTTTTAAGATTTTATTTATTTATTTGACAGAGAACACAAGCGGGGGGGGGGAGGAGAGGGAGAAGCAGGTTCCCCCACTGAGCAGAGAGCCCGACTTGGAGCTCTATCCCAGGACCCTGGGATTATGACCTGAGCCAAAGGCAGCTGCTTAACCGACTGAGCCACCCAAGCGCCCTGGAGAGATTCTTAAGCAGATTCTACACTCAGCACAGAACCTGACATGGGGCTTGATCTCATGACCCTGAGATCACGACCTGAGCTGAAATCAAGAGCACAACCAACTGAGCCACCCAGGCGCCCCAAGAATTTATTTTTAAGTAATCTCTACAACCAATGTGGGGCTCAAACTCACAACCCTGAGATCAAGAGTCACAAGCTCTACCGCCTGGGGGCCCCTCCCCATAGGGGGTTTTAGTCATACAGGCAAATAATGCAGGTAAGAGCAATCAAATCAGAATAGCTTGTTAGACCAACGTGGCCACTGCAGAAACAACACAGCTTCTCCAGTGGGAGAGCCCCACCTTTCTTCCTTCTCAAAGGAAATTGCCTCACCTGGATCTTGGAGAGTCAGAGCAGGAGGTGCTCGGCAGGAAGTCTAGAAGGCCCTCTGCAGTAAGCAAACAGACCTGAGAATGCCCTGTTCAGCACAGGTGAACGATTCGGTCACCAACATTTTTCCGAGGGTTAAAAATATTCTACCATGCCCCGAGAATGTCTCCAAGCCAGGGGTCAGCATACCAGGCCGACAGGCCCTCATAGGCCTGTTTCGTAAACACAGCCCCGGTCAGCTCCTTTATTGCCCACAGCTGTTTTATGGCTACAAGGCAGAGTTGATCCAAATCTACTCATAGGGTTATTATGAGGACTCAACCGGTCAAAGTACTTATTATCTGGCCCCTTAGAGAAGTTTGTCATCTCCTGCTCTAAACCATTAGGACTGAATGACCAGGTCCACAGCATTCTCCTTAAATTGCTCTCAAAACTTACCAGGAAGTGCAGAAAATCTCCTCCTCTCACTCCCCCAATCCCCAGTTATAAACATCATGTTTCCCCCAACTCCGGAAGCTGACAGTTTATAAAAGAAAAAAACTTCAACGTCATGGGGACTGCAGTTCATAACACTATACTGCGTATGTGGAAGTTGCTGAGAGAGTACATCTTAAAAGCTCTCACCACAAGGAAAAAAATGTAACTGTGGTGACAGCCATTAACTAGATTTATTGTGGTGATCATTTTGCAATACACACAAATACTGAATCATTATGTTGTACACCTAAGACTAGCATATGTCGATTATACCACAAATTTTTTTTGAAGAAGAAACTTAAAATTCATGTGCAGGACAGGGCGCCTGGGTGGCTCAGATGGTTAAGCGTCTGCCTTCGGCTCAGGTCATGATCCCAGGGTCCTGGGATCGAGCCCTGCATTAGGTTCCCTGCTCAGCGGGGAGCCTGCTTCTCCCTCTCTCTGCTCCTCCCCCACCCTTCCACCCCTGCTTGGGCTTGCTCTCTCTCCCTAACCCATCCCCCCACCCCTCAAATAAATTATTTTTAAAAAATTCACGTGCATGTTTAGTACTATGTAGTGGAAATACCAAAGAACAAGATGGACAAGTGAAAATGAATGAGAGGAACCAAATTTCATTGTGTTTTTTTCCAGCACTTGCAATTTTCTGAAGAAAGGCCGCCTCCCACACGGATACCAAGACTACATCTTGGCAGGAACTCCCGAATTTTCCTTCAGTTCAAGAGTTGGCAAACTGCAGCCCAAAGGCTGAATCCTGCCAGGCACCTGTTTCTGTACACTGCCCATAAGCCTAGTCTTCACAGTTTTTAATGGTTGCAAAAAAAAATAAAATAAAAAGTTCACATGTGAACAGCACATGCAATTAAAATATGGGTGTCCCTAAATAAAGTTTTATTGGGACACAACCACTCCCATTCATTTATGCCCCGTCTAAGGCTGTCAGGCTACAAGAATTGAGTCTACCAGCAGGGCACATGAATCCCAGAGGGTATAGAAGATGCTCAGCGGGGCTAGGGAAGAAAATCCTAGCAGTTACATTAATTTGTATCCAAAAAGTGTGATATCAACTATATTTCAGTAATGTAACTATCACATAAAAATAACTTGCAAGTATGTATGTATACTAATTATATTATCTCATACTATGTAACATGCTAATTCTATTATACTACCGTAAAATAAATACTAACAGTGTTAATAAAAGTAGAAACTGACTCTGCATGCTAAGTCCCTCTGTTGAAGGTCACAAGTCACCACCTCTGAGGTGCCTGAGAAACCCCTCTGACTTCGTTCGGCACTGAGCACAGTGAGGTGGACTGACAAATTATAACTACGCTAAACCTTACAGAGACTATGAAGCTTTAAGATTCATATGAAAAGCACAAATTGAAGTTATTCTAATAAACGTAAGCGTGGGCAAACACGAGTCCACCGCTGGGAAGGCCCAGGCTTCTTATCCTCAGTTCTGCATGAGCCATGTCACAAAGTAAAACCTATGATGATATAATCAGATCTGACAAGAAACAGGCCAAAAATACTCACAGTTCAAGGAGTATATGAAAGAGGGCTTTACTGCCACTGTCACTAAGCATGAATCCAGCCCTAAGAGTATCTGGGCCTTGAGATACAAGACAGTAACAATAGCACATGCACCTAATTTACAAATTAGTAACATACAGACGAGGGCTAAACATTTGTTTAATTGAGAAAATTGATATATAACATTGAATTAATTTTAAGTTGTTTTTTAAACTAATGAGAATGATCAAAAAAGTTTGGAAATCATAGCAAATTACCGTCTGTATCACCATGATCATATTATGTAGTACTCTTACATATCTTTTCCTCCTGTCAGGCATTAATCAATCTTCAAAATCTTAGCTAGGGGAAGTTCTATTAACACAACCCTGAAAGGTTTTAAATAAAAATAAGATCAAAATATTGTAACAATCAGAGAAGGCATGATTTTTTTTTTTTCTTCTGAAAGTGTAGGAAATGCACTGTGTGAAACAAAGTGGACTCCCTGGGAACTTGGTAAGCACTTCTGAAACTTCAAGCCAAGTCTTTTCATGTAATGTCATCAGTAACTGGAAAAGTCTAAAAAAGAAAATGACCACAACCTAAGAATGTTTTTTTGCTAGAGGAAGCGGGGAGCAGGCAAATGAAATAACACTCACACTTTTATAAAGTGAGACAAAAGCTTATCAAGACCATTCCTACTTTTGTGCAAAAAAAAAAAATCTAAGTCTTTTTTTTTTTTTTTACAGCAATAAAAAAAGAAGTGTTTCTTTTTCCCTTATCCAAATAATGGATGTTATTTCTCACCTTAGGTTATTAAAAAAAAAAAAAAAAAGGTAATGAAAGAATACAACTACATTAAAGCCAGGGCATGGGGCCTCTCATCCCTCATCTTGGCCTCCGACCCTCCCTTCCTGGGGCTGGCCTTCTCTGGGGACCAGGCCACCTTCAAGCTCCCTTTCACTAAAGAACCAGCCAGGGAACTGTGCTTAGCACAGCCTGCTAGAAGTGATACCCCAACCTTTCATCTCCTTCCTGGAGAGGCAGTTTCCCCAGGCTCTGCCCTTCTACCCTTTGTGTTTCTGATGCAGAAAGCCTGTCTGCACATTCATAGGATTTTCAATGAGGTCAGCAATTTCCTCCCTGCTGGGTGGCCACAAAAACCCCCAGGCCTGACACAGTCAACCATCCTCACTTCTGCTGCTGCCCACCCCTCAAAAAATAATATAATACAAAATCTTTTCAACCCTCATCAATAACTAGGCCCATGGCCAGCAATTAGAAAGATGGCTTCCTTAGCTCCCAAGAGCAATATCGTCCATATCTGATACCCCCAGCCCCCCAACCATTCCTTCCTCTCATTCCTGGTGCTTCATTTTTGAACAAAACCAATGGGGGAAAAATGTGATAACCTCTCCATAGGAGAACAAAATATATCTGGAAGAGCTGATTGTTTTCTTAAACATCCTCAGAATTCAATGTCTTTTTGACCATTGATACCTTAAACATTGAGTTCTGGCCTAGGGACAGCAAGTCTTACCAAATTACTGCTTTTTATTTACAAATAAAATAAAATTATTCTCCCCATGCATGAGCTTACCTTAATCTTCTATAACATAAACAGGAAGGACCACACCGCCAAGAGACTCCACTGCTCTTCTGGTTTCATGCTCCAAAAATTTCAAAAATACTAAAACTGCCGAAATTTGAGTCAATCTGGTGGCTATAAGCCAAACAGAGTCACTCGAAAGCTGTTAAATATTTCATCAGACTGTGGGACATCTTAACAATCCACCCCTAGGAATGTCCCTCAACATTTGCGGAATTTCGAGCTGTAGGGCCTCGGAGACCCCAAACCAGACAAAGAAAATCTCCGACCCATGAAAGCCACCCAAGTTTGGTTATGCAAATTTGGAAAAGGGGTATCTGAAAATGACCAGCAACATCATGGCATTCCCAATACAATGGTCCTTAAATTCCGCTAAAAAGAACACTCATCAAAGTAGGTATTTTCTTATTTTACCTTAAAAAAAAAAAATCATTACAGACATCAAACAGGGTGTGAAACAGAAACTATCTATAAACCCAGGAGGCTATTTTTACAGCGGAGCAAAAGTTCTCTGGATGCTCCACACAGTCATAGGTGGGAAATACACATCCAGGGGGGAACCTGGAGCATCCGGAGACGGGCTCCGGTCACCTGCCCGGACGCGACCGCTGCCAACGTGGGCACCCGCGGCGCCCGAGCGCCAGGACGCGGAGGTGAGCGGCGCGCGGCGGCCACCCGCCCTCCCCCGGCGCGTCACCCCCGCGGGACCCGCACTAGTGCGACTTCGGGGCTGCACGCCTTCGACTTCGGATGCCGACGCGCGTGACAAAGCGGAGAACAAAAAAGAAAGGCCCCGCACGCCCCAGACCGGCCTCCGCCGGGGCAGACAGCCCTCGCACAGCCCCTCGCGGCGGCCGGGGACCTGGGGACGGAGGCGGCCCGCGGCGAAGGCTCGGGCCCCTCGGGGGCTCCGGTGACAGGCTGCGGCCGGGGCACGGGCCCCGGGCCGGGGCAGAACCAGGCAGAGGGAAGGCGGCCAGGGCGGCCCGGGAGCTGGGGCACCCGCGCCGCGCACTCACCTCGTGCCGCGGCTCCGGCGGCCGCTCGGCGCTGCGGGCCCGGCTCCCGGACCGCCCGCCGCCCTCCCGCCGCCGGCCTCGCGCTCTCGCCCGCTCCGTGCCGTGCGCCCCGCGCCGCGCCCCGCGCCGCCGCGTCTCCGGCCTCCGCAGCGGCGAGTCCCCGCCCCCGGACCGCGCCGGCGGCGTGGGGAGGAGGCGGTGCCGCGAGCGCGGGGAGGCGAGGCCGGGGCCCCGCCCGGACGCGGCCCCACGGTGCGCGCGCCCCGGCCCGCGGCCGCCCCTCCGCCCCAGCGCGGGCGCCGGGGTCGCGCCCCCTCCTCGGCCGCGGCGCCCCCCAACCTCCCCCCCGGCGCCCCTGCGGGACGCGGCTCCGAGGCAGAAGGGGAGCGGCCCGACGCTCCCTAACGAGGCGCAAGGGTGGGAAGGGGCGGCGCGGAGCAAAGGGACCTAGAGGCGAGAGGACCCCTCACCTCACCCCCGCCCCGGTCCGGAGGGAATTTTCCGGACTGTGGGGCCAACTGTATCCAGCGCCACCCACCTTGCCACACTCACGTCTCCCTCACTGGTCCCGGCCCAAACTGCCCAGAGGAAAAGGGGCCAACGAATAACAGGAATTTAGGGGGAGTCTGTCCTCACAAGTTTGGGTTCTTTCTTCCACCAGTCCTTCCCAGTTCCTAATCTCCCCACAACTGTTATCCCTCAAGCTTTAATTTTCCGTGACTGTGACCCTCCGGACTACTTGTGGATAAAATGAAGCTTCTTGGACCCTGCGCCAAGTGTGAGCTTCTAGTATTGTCTAAGGATGAAGCCTGGGAGTCTGAATTTTAAAGAGCGCCCAGCGCGCACATTTGTTTGAGAAGCACCGTTAGGCCACACCTCCCTGAGAGGGTGCCAAAAACGAAAGATCTACAGGGTGTCCGTACTAGAAAATTTTAAAACAGTGGTTCTTAATCCTGACAGCGCTGGCCAGATGCGAAAATAAGCTAGGCGCTTCTGCAGTATTTGGATGCCAGGGTCCCACCTCCAGAGTTCCGAACCCAAACGCGGGAATTTTTGTTGGTTATAAAGCTTGCCAGATAATTCTAACATATGGTCAGCACGAAGAATAATTCTAGGTTTATCTCTTTTCAAGCCTACCTAGCTCCGGTTTCTGGGAAAGGAACCTCTTCCTCTCCCCCTTCCCAAATCCCAATCACACACACAAAACAACAACAGCAAAACACAACACAAGTAAATACACAAACTCCTAAGGGAATGCTCACGGCCAAAATGGTTTTCAACCAGAACAAAGACTCACCTTGAGAAAGGTGACCAAGATTCCTTACTGCCACCTGAGCATGGTCTCCTTAAATTCAGGAAAAGGATCCTTTATGGGCCAAAACCTCTTTATTTCTTTATTTATTTTATTTTATTATGTTATGTTAGTCATCATACATTACATCATTAGTTTTTGATGTAGTGTTCCATGATTCATTGTTTGCATATAACACCCAGTTGAGCCAAAACCTCTTAACTGAATTTAGAGTAATATTCTATAGCCGGAAATGATACTTTTGTGACCTGCTGTTAGACTGTTGCCCTGCTGGACTAAGACTGCAAAAAGTCGGGGATGTGTTGGACATCAGCCCTGGCTTTTCCAATGACTTGTATCACTTCTTTCTAATCTTCTACTGACTTTAAGTGACCACAATCAGGATTTTTGGACAGGTACAATAAATTGCTCCTTCTGGCTCCCCTAAGTTATATTTTGCCTTCTTAGGCTGGTGGGCCATAACTTCTACCTCGTTTGCCTCTAAATAAGTTTGCACTGTGTTCCTCGTTTATCAACAACTAATTAGTGACTAAGCCAGTGATATTTTTCCAGCTTTATTCAGAAATAATTGACATATCTCACTGTATAAGGTGTCCAGCATTGGGTTTGATTTATATATATTGCAAAATGATTACCACAGTTGGTTCAGCTAACATCCATCTTCCCATATAGATACGACTGTTAAAAAAGAAGAAAGAAGAAAAAAGGAAGAAAAAATTTCTCCTTGTGATGAGAACACTTTTGATCTACTCTGCTAACCAGTTTCCTATATATAATACAGCAGTGTTAGCGCTAGTCATCATGTTGTACATCACATCCCTTGGTACTTATTTATCTTACAACTGCAAGTTTGTACCTTTTGACCTTTCTCCAATTCCCCACTCCTTGCCCCACCGCCTCTGGTGACCGCAAGTCTGATCTTTTTTCTCCATGAATTTTTCTTTTTAAGATTCCATATATAAGTGAAATCATACAGTATTTGTCTTTGTCTGACTTCACTTAGCGTAATGCCCTCAAGGCCCATCCCTGTTGTCATAAATGGTAGGATTTCCTGTCTTTTTATGGCTGAAAAATATTCCACTATGTGTGTGTGTATGCATATATATGCACACATACCACATCTTTATCCATCCACTGATGGACACTTAAGTTGTTTCCATATCTGGGCTATTATAAATAATGCTGCTGTGAATATGGGGGTGCATATATCTTTTTGAGTTAATGTTTTTGTTTCCTTTGAATAAGTACCCAGAAGTGGAATTACTGGATCATATGGTAGTTTTATTTTTAATTTTTGAGGCTTCTCCATACTGTTTGCCATAGTTAAACCCATGATTCTTTTTTTTGTTTTAAGTAGGCTCCACACCCAGCATACAGCCCACAGTGGGGCTTGAAGCTCAAGACCTGAGCGGATATCAAGAGCCAGACGCTTAACTGACTGAGCCACCCAGCTGCCCTTTTTTTTTTAATTTAAGTTCAATTAGCCAACATAAAGTACATACTTAGTTTCAGATGTAGTGTTCAATAATTCATCAGTTGCCTATAACACCCAGTGCTCATCACATCATGTACCCTCCTTAATACCCATCATTCAGTTATCCTGTCCCCCCACCCACCTCCCCTCCATCAGCCCTCAGTTTGTTTCCTATAGTTAAAGAGTGTCTCATGGTTTTTCTCCTTCTCTGATGACTTCCTATTCAGTTTTCCCTCCCTTCCCTTATGATCCTCTGTGCTGTTTCTTATATTCCACATATGAGTGAAACCATATGCTAATTGTCTTTCTCTGATTGACTTATTTCACTTAGCGTAACACCCTCCAGTTCCAACCATGTCAATGTAAATGGCAGTATTCAACCTTTCTGATGGCTGAGTAATATTCCATTGTATATATGTACCACATCTTTTTTTTTTTTAAGATTTTTATTTATTTATTTATTTGAGAGAGAGAGAATGAGAGAGAGGGGGGAGGGTCAGAGGGAGAAGCAGACTCCCCGCCGAGCAGGGAGCCCGATGCGGGACTCGATTCAGGGACTCCAGGATCATGACCTGAGCCGAAGGCAGTTGCTCAACCAACTGAGCCACCCAGGCGCCCTGTACCACATCTTCTTTACCCATTCATCTGTTGATGGACATCTCGGCTCTTTCCACAGTTTGGCTATTGTGGACATTGCTGCTATAAACATTGAGGTGCATGTGCCCCTTCAGATCCCTACATTTGTATCTTTGGGGTAAATACCTAGTAGTGCAATTGCCCAGCCCATGATTCTTAAACACTTTATGAAACAGGTCTACATGTCTAGGTGTTAGGGCAGTTTGAATCAATACATCTTTGCTGAGGAGGAAGCAGTCCTTTTCAAGTTTCATGAGATTCCTTATGATGAAATTTGGCATTTAAAAAAAAATTTGGCATTTTAAAGAAATAAAAAAATTTATTTATTTATTTATTTATTTATTTATTTTAGATAGAGAAAGAGTGCATGAGCTAGAGGGAGGGGCAGAGGAAGATGGAAAGAAAGAATCTCAAGCAGACTCCCTGCTGAGCGTGGAGCCCAATGCGGGGCTGGATCCCAGGACCCTGAGATCATGATCTGAGCCGATGCCAACAGTCAGTCACTCAACCAACTGAGCCACCCAGATGCCCCGAAATTTGGCATTGTAAAGATGCAGATATATGTATATATATATTTCACATATAATATATATATACTAGATTTGCATTCTTTATAAAGTACTCTTCGATTTCTTCATGGCTTCTCACCCAAAATATTTAAACTAATCAATCTCCAGCCCTAAAAATTCAATTGGGAAGATTTTGATTAACCGATGTGCAAGGGGCTGTGGTGGTTGGTTGCAGTGGGCATCCATGTTTTGTTTATTCAACATCCTTTTCCATTGCTTCTCAGCCTTTTGACTAAGATCCTTTCCCTCACTCACTAGTAGCACACTGTCTTCATACAGGAATGTCCCCCCATCTCCAAGGGATACAGCCTTGGTAGATTGTCAATCAAAGCAATGTCCTCTCCAGCTCAAGGGATGAACCTTATATAAGTTTCCTATTTGCTGCCCTAACGAATCATTCAACTTAAAGCAACACAAATTTACTATCTTACAGCTCTGTAGGTCAAAACTTTCATCAACGTGTCAGCAAGGCTGCATTCCTTTCTGGAGGCTCTAGAGAAGTCCCCTTTTTTGCCCTTTCTAGCTCCTAAAGGCTGTCTGCATTCCTGGGCTTGTGACCCCCTGCCTCCCTCTTCAAAACCAGCAATCTCATAATTAGTAACATCTTTCTAATCCTGCTTCCATAGTCACATCTCTCGGATCCAGTTGGGAAAGTTTCCTCACTTCTTAGGATCCTTGTGATTAACTGGTCTCACCCAAATAATGCAAGATAATCTTTCCCCCTCAAGGCCCTTAACTTAATCACATCTGTAAAGTCCCTTTTGTGATGTAAGGTCACATTAACAGACTCCAGGGATGAAGACATGGACATCTTTGGGGGGACATTATTCTGCCTTACCACAGAGTCCTCAACTTAGCTGGTCTGTTACACTTTGTTCCTGGGATGAACAAAGTGATGATTCGAGGACTGAAAAATATTGATATGCACTTATCTCAATGACAGTACTCACCTTC